GTTTGCCCATCTGTACAATGGGGATAATGCTACAGACCTCCTTTGGAAAGCGCTTTGCGATTGGTGGATGAAAGGCGCGGTCACAGTGCTGCTGACAGCGTGGGGGTGTGTGTGCGGGAGACGCGGGGGTCCGTGGCGGGTGAGGGGTGGCGGGGGCAGCTGGGCCCGTTGCCTGCCGGGGGTGGCAATGCACGGGCGCTCAGCGCTCTGTCCCGTCCCTAACCCGCCCTGTTCTCTGTCCCGTTTCCAGCCCAGGGCAAGGTGCTGGCGCCCAGCTCGGAGCCCCCGGAGCCCTGGCCCCCCGCGGCGGCCGTGACCCTGCCTGTGAGCTACCGCCTCTCCAACACCCGCCTGGCCTTCTTCCTGAAGGAGACGGGGGCGGGGCCGGGGGGGAACGCCAGCGCCCCCCTGCAGCGCTCCGAGCCCTTCGTCGTCTTCCAGACCAAGGAGCTACCCGTCCTCAACGTCTCGCTGGGTCCCTTCAGCACCGGGCTGGTCCTGCCCAGGGAGCAGCTCCAGCCCTCCAGCACCCTGGAGATCCCCGACCGCCTCACCGTCAACTGGAAGGTGCGAGCCTTCATCATCCAGCCGCGGGTGCTGGCCAGCCAGCCCGTGGTCCAGGTGCTCTTCTACGTGGCGGGCCGGGACTGGGACGACTTCGACGTGACCGACCGGCTGCCCTGCGTCCGGCTGCACGCCTTCCGCGAGGCCCGGGAGATCAAGAGCTCCTGCCGCCTGCGGGGCAGCCTGGCCACCTGCCTGGTGCAGGCCGAGCTGCCCCACGCCTGGTTCGGCCCCTCGGCCGTGCCCCTGGGCAGGAGGAAGGTGCCGGAGGCCCTGGACCTGAGCGGCGAGAGCCAGCAGGCTGAGCTGTACTACACGCTGCATGCACCCGACGGGGCCGGGGAGTGCCCCGGAGAGACGGCCCCGCGCCGGGGGGGCGGCGCTGCCCGGACCGAGGGCCCCACGCAGCACCCCTTGCTGCGCATTGGCAGCATCAGCCTCTTCCAGCCCCCGCCCGCCCAGCTGATGCAGGAGCACAGGCTGGACGGCAACATCTTCATCCGCCTGCCGGACAAGCCCCTCAAGCCGGGCGAAGTGCTCAGCATCCTCCTCTACCTAATGGCCAACTCCACCGTGGAGCACTTCACGCTCAGGTACGTCCGCGTGGCCGGGGACGAGCACGCTAACCACGCCGAGCGCCGAGCCGACGCTCCAGCCTGCTGCTGGGAGGCGCTGTGCTGCTGGTGCTTGCCCTGAGCTGCTGCGTCGCTGCGCGCTGGGATACGGCCCACCCCAGGGCGGGCTGCATTTCAGCAGCGAGTGCAGCGAGCTCCCCCAGGTTTGGCAAGGCGTTTGAGGTGCCTAAGTCCCATTGGTTTCACTGGGAGCTAGTTGGCTGGGTGCTTTCAAAAATCCGACGGGGAGCCTGTCTCCCGGGGGCAGGGGCAGCGGCGGGTGGGGAAGGGCGTGTGTTGCGCTGTGTGTGATGTTTAATCCCCGGAGGTGATTCTTTAGGCCTTCTGGTGGGCGCAGGTGGGGAAGTGTCACGCGTTGGTATTGCGTAGCAGGTCCCCTGCTGCACAAGGCCCCCGATGCAGACGTCCCCGGGGAGCTAGCCGGACCCCTCAGACCGCTGCTCTGTCCCAGACTCCCTGTGTGCCCTTGGTCACATCACTTAGCGTATGATTGCCCCCCCGCAACGTTGTCCGCCGCGCTCCCTGGGGGAGGAAAAGTGCTGTGGGACATGACGGTCCTTCCCCCGGTATCTTTCCCGCCGTGTGTGGCCTTGCGGACGTGAGCCTTGCTCTCCTCTCCGGCTCTGCAGGGTGAAGGCCAAGAAGGGCGTCAACCTCGTCAACACCAAATCCAGGAACCTCCAGTGGCTGGTGAACTCTGAGCTGCTGACGGGCGGGAAGCACTCCACAGCCACCGTCGACGTGGCCAAGGCAGACGGCGCGCTGCCCAGGTAAGCGCCTCGCCGCGTCCCCTTCTCTTTCTCGGGGTCAGGGTCTGACCGAGCCACGGCATCGGGAGGGAATTTCCCCCCGCTCGGATTGGCATGGGCGGGTTCTTTGCCTTCCTCCGCAGTTTGGGGAAAGGGTTGTCTGCTGGGATCCTCTGGACACGTCTCACCTGCCGCGGCATTGGTGCACCTCGCTCCCTCGCGCGCGTTCTCTGCCTGCGGCACGCCAGGGCTTAGTCGCCAGGGGGCTGCAGTTGGGCTCCACGCGGGTTTGCAGGAGATCTGGTGGCCCCTTCCGAGCTTAGACTCCATGACTCACTCGCCGGGGGGGCTCCTGTGCTGCCCCCTGAGGGCAGCGGCGCCCGTCTGAGGGGCGGGACCGTGGCGGTCTGTATCCTCCCGCTGCGACACGGCCCTTGGCGCTGCCCGGCCTGGCTGGCTGGGCCCATTCTGTGGCCGGGAGCATTGCAGGGGCGGGGGCAGCATTTGTGGCTCATTGCAGGGCGGGAGGGGAAGCGGGGTCTCATGTTGCCCTGCGGCAGCCCCCAAAGTGGTTGGCTTTGAAGAAAGACCCCGTCCCCCCCTCCTAGGCCAAGGGCTCTGGAGGGGCGTTGCATTAATTTAGATAGACTCAATGGGCCACAGATGTTCCCGGAACCCAGACACTGTCCAGCGTTACATCAGGCCTGGGCTGTGGCGTCCCGAGAGCTCGGCCTGCCTTGACCCATGGCAAACGCACCATGAAACAGATCTGCTTAAAGATCCAGAAAGGCAGGAAACCCAGCGAAAGCCTTGGCGCTGGGAAGCGTTCGGTCAGGCTTGTCACTGTGACCTTGTCCCTTGGCCCCTTCCCCTTTAGCGGGAGAGCGAGTCAGAAGGGAGAAGCCCCTCGTCTGACCATCTGGTAGATGGTATCGAAGCTGGTGATCGCTGTCCTTGGGGGGAAAGGGAAGATGGGAGTGGAGCTGGTATCATCTGGGTCCCTCTCTCTGGCCCATGCTGGCCGGGCCATACCTCGGGATTAAGGCAAAGAGGGTCCGGGGTCCCAGGACGTGGTGGGGCTGGCAGCCATGATGGCAATTTCTCTAGTAGCCTCTGTCTGTTCTTCTCCCTGTTCCTGGCTCCCCCACGTCTCTTTCATGTGGGGCCCAAGGAGGGAGTGGTGGACGCAATAACCCAGCCCCTTGTTGCTTTGTCCCCCAGTTAGGCCTAATGTCCGACACACTAGATTTGGTTCATTCGTTTCCGCTTCCACATCCCCTGCTTGTCATCAGCGTAAGTTCAACGCTCCGTGGACCACAATGCGGCCTTCACCCAGCGCGCCGTCAACTTGTGGAACTCCTTGCCTGAGGAGGTGGTGAAGGCTAGGACTATAACAGGGTTTAAAAGAGAACTGGATAAATTCATGGAGGTTAAGTCCATTAATGGCTATTAGCCAGGATGGGTAAGGAATGGTGTCCCTAGCCTCTGTTTGTCAGAGGGTGGAGATGGACGGCAGGAGAGAGATCACTTGATCATTACCTGTTAGGTTCACTCCCTCTGGGGCAGCTGGCATTGGCCACTGTCGGTAGACAGGATACTGGGCTGGATGGATCTTTGGTTTGACCCAGTACGGCCGTTCTTATGATCTTTTCAGTTCAGACTAGGGTTTTATGGGGGAGATGGGCCCTGAAGTTCTCCTGCATGTGCCAGGGATCTGGGTTGGGCTTTTTAAATCCTATTCCCGGCATGTGGTTCCCTGTCTCCCCTCCCCTCCGCAGCTCACATTTCTCCCAGGAGAACCCTGTCTCTCTGCCTAGCCGCACACACACTCAGCTCCATCCACCCACTCACGAGGACCGGGGCTGAGACCCACCAAAGCTCATCTCCTGCCAGCCTCACGGTGTGAGCAGTGACACCTGGCGGCCACCCTTGAACACACCGCACCCTGCGTCTCTTATCCCCCACTCCGAGTGGGGTCTCCTTGGAGCAGGCTTCCCCTTTAAAATTTGGCATCTGCCTGGACCTTGCCGGCTGCCCTCCTTCCCTGAACACACTGCCCAGAGCGGCACGCAATGCGCGTGTGCGGGGCCTTGCTGGGACTCCGATCGTCCGGCCGGCACGTGCTGGAGCTGATAAACTTGCCCTTCTGATCTAATGCGTCTGTGCAGCATGTTAGCCCACAGGAGAGCTCGTTATCTCTGCACTGCAGACCTGAGCGGAGTTCCTGGCGCTCGGATCCAGGCAGCGGCCCCGCTCCGGCCTGCACGGGGCTCGCAATGCAGCCGCGCTCGACGGGCCACCTGAGGAACCCTGCCCGCCCCAGATATACTCCCATCCCCATCCCCAAATTCCACTCCATTCCCCTGCTCTCCAGCCGGCCGGCCTGGGAGCTCATCAGAGCGGGGAGGAGATGCCGGCTGCATGGAGAGGCTTTGCTATTCACTGGGACCCTCTGCCCAATGCGCTCTGCTTAGGTGGGGCCCCAGCGTGGGGCTGGCTCTGTAAGGACCTGGGCATTTGGTGACTCCATCAGGGATCTGTCCCCTGGGCCCAGGACCCACCCTGCCTACCCCAGCAGGGATCCGTCCCCGGGGCTCTCACGTCTCTTGCTGACTGCTAGACGAGCTGATATTTGGGGACGGAGAAGAGGCTGCCTTCCCCCTACGCAGCTCCGATCCCCAGAGCAGCCACATGAGCCTTCAGGACACAGGGACGATGCGATCTTATCTGGGCACCACAAGCTCCCCTAGATAGCCGGGCAGATCCCAGCTCTGACCAGCTCTGGTGGCCTGTCTCCCACGGTGCTGCCAAGGACAGTGTGAGAAACCCCACAGCGGAGAGGTCTCTGCCCTGGCGGCTGGGACGGCACCGGCGGTGGGGTGTGTAGTGGCAAAGCTGTTTGTTTCCAGGAAGAGGCTCTCCGGCCCGCGGGGGCGTGGGGCCAGCTGGGAAGCGGAGTATGGTCAGGGGTTGGGATCCTGGGTGGCTCCGCTGGCTGGTTTAACAGGGTCGGGGCAGAGTTTCTGGACGGAGAGCTGATCACGGCCGCTGCCCCTTCGCGCCTGTGTCTGGGGAGACGAGAAGCCAGGGCTGTTGTTTTGTGCCGTATGGGAATGAATGGAGCGGGATGGCCGTGGGGAGCCCCGCGCCCAGCAAGGCCCAGCTGGGGCCGGCAGAATGGCAGTGGGCCAGGAGACAATCCAGCGGGAATCCCAGCAGGCTCTGTTAAAACCCTCCTGTTGAACTTGCTTAGTTCGTAGGGGCCTCTGCTTCTACAGGCAGATCCTTAGCCCCGGGAATTAGAAGCCCCAAGCGACAATAGACCCAGTTGCTGTAGGTGCTAGCTGGAGGCACTAGAGGTACAGGCACCCAGGGGAGCGGGTTACAGGAGTGTGGGGCAGGTGGGGTTGGGAACTGGAGTTTCCTGCTCCTTTGAGAGCATCCATTCTGCGGGATTAACCCTTTGTGCCATGCAGCGATCACAAACACCTGCAGCAGGTGCTTGTGCCGCTCTCGGGTGGCGGGGTGGCCTGGAAGCAGCATGCCCCAGACGAATGCCGGCGAGAGCCCACCAAGCTGGGGCAGCTAGGGACAAGCCGCTCTCCAGCGTCACGCTGAGCTGCATGAAAGTGGCCTGTCCGCAGGACGCCTGGTGAGCGGCAGCTCACCTGGGCAGGGGGCCTCGTGGAGAAGGCATTCTGGCTTTTGGGCGTATCCCCAATAACAGGCGTGGAGCCGGAGCCCGTGTGCGCGGTGGCAGGGATCTTGGGGCTGACCTTAGAGCTATCTCAGGGTGGTGGGAATTTTGGGATCCATGTCTCCTGGAGTTCCACAGGCACTTTCCTCCATGCGGCCAGTGGAGTTTCTTCTGTCCCGACGCTGGAAAGCCAAGACACTTCCTGCTAATCAGAGCCTGGTCCAGGATTCCCCCGGGCAGCTGGACTAGACGGAGCCCTTCTCTGATCGGTGTCATCCTTTGCCACCTGTCTCTTCGGTGCCGATTTAACTGGGGTCACATTTGTGGGGGATGATGCCAGAACGGGAGGGGCTGGAAGCTGGCTGCGTGGTGAGCTGGAGAGATCAGAGTGTCCCGGGGAGCCCTGCGCCCCTTTGGGAGCGAAGGAGGAGCTGCCTCCGCTCGGCACAGACCCTGGAGCATTTAGCTGCGTGACAAGGATGGTGCTTGTCCTTGTTTGGTCTGAATTAATTCCAGGGTTTCCAGGCCTCGAAGCTTGATCGTTCACTCCAAAAATACAGGCCTCTACCACTTGCATGAAAGGAGAAGACCTTCTGCTGGTGCTAAAGGTGCTGCAGGCCCAACTATTTCATTCACTTGCTTGTGCAACGCAGGCAGTACGTTACACCTACCCCTTGGTCAACAGCTCAGCTGGGCTGGGAGGTCACATGGGAGGGAGGAGAGACATGCCAGCTAAACGAGGGCCACAAGAAAGCCCCAGACCTGTTGAGAGGAGCTGGCATTGGACTGCAGGGGGAAGGGAGGATCAAACCAGATCTGGAGCTGGGCTGTAAGCTTGGCAGCACAAAATCAAGGGCACACTTTGACAACACCCCTCCCAGCCTCGGGAAGCCGGAGGTGGCCATCAGAGGGCTGGCTAATTCTGTTCAGCTCGCCCGGTGTGCACTCCGTGGGAATGGCTGATACGTGTTTGGTGTGAGGGAGTTTTTAATTGGAAGAACAGCTTGTGAATTCCTTGAGGAAAGACAAGTCCAGATGCTCAGGAGAGATTCCTCAGCCTTGAAGGTGGACTGAAAGCTAAGCTGGAAATAGAGGTGAACTTAGATGTAGGCACTGGACACCCCTAATGCCTAGGCTGGGGGAGCTATTGACCACCATCATTGGTTTTAATCTGCCATAGTTTTAATCCAATGGCACTTCACCGTTTTCTAAAAGAAACCCTAGAATGTGCATTTCTGATGAGGTTTACTTGCAGTATATTAATCAGCCACTAGATGGCTCTGTGATGTAGAGTTCCAGGATCTGGTCCCTGGTAAACAAAGGC